AAGTGCACTCTCCTGCTGGGCTTTACCCACATGAGAGAGAAATGAACTTGTGTCACTGTTCTCTTGGCCTATCTCCCCTAGAGCTCAGATTTTAGCCTCTGATGAACTCTCCTGACACCATGGCCTCTTGTCACAGTAAATCTAATCCTGAGTAACATATAAGATATAGCTCTGCCATGCTGTGTCTTCAGTCACCCACCATCTATATTCTGTGACCTTTGGATTTGTCCCCAGCCTAACTCTGGCAGTTCACCACAGCCCTCCACACAGTTGCCGTCCTCTTCCCAACCTGCCTCTCCCCCAGTGCTCCCCACCTCAGGAAAGGGTGCCTCCATACCCCCAGCACCGTGTGAGTCATCTCTGATTTCCCTTCCTCCCACTCCATCTCGCTCACGTCCACAAAACCCCAAATTCCCCATTCTGCCTCCTAAAATGAATCTACTCCTCCCCTCCACCTCCAAAGTTATTGTCCCAACCCAGGCCCTCACCACTCCACACCTGTTCCATTGCAACCACCTCCTAACTGGTCTCCCTGCCTCCAGTCTTCACCCCACAGCCTGCTCTGCCTGCTTGGAAAACCTCCCATGACTCCCCTTGGTCTCTAGGATAAAGTCTAAGTTTTCTGAGTGAACAGCATGACACCCTGCCTTCTGCCACCTCATCTCCCAGTCCCCCACTCTTCCCTCAGCACCTCTTCCTACAGGATACAGCACAAAGAATTTGCCACGGCTCCAGTAACACACTGTGATTCTGTTTTTGCATATGAGGTTCCCTCTGTCTCAAGGGCCTTCCCCAACTCCTCTTCTTGGTAAACTCTTATTCCTCCTTCAAGGCCGAGGCAGAGGTCACCTTCTCAAGAGGCCTTGCCTGATTCTCCCAGCAAAAGCAGCCTGTTGATCCCTGCTCTGTGCTGCTGCAGAACTTGCCCATCTAACTCAGGCTCATCCCACTGCATTCGCAGAGTTGGGAGGGGGTGTCTGTCTCCCCAACTGACAATGAGCAACTTGGGGAGGAATCCCATTTTATTGTACTTGGAATCCACAGCACCTAATGCTGGCACAGAGTAGGTGCCTAGCACACAATATTGTTACTCATTTACTAAGCCCCTACTATGTGCCAGGCCCTGAGCTAGATGCTTTATCTAAATTATCACATTTTATCTTCAAAATCACCCTGCCAGGAGACATGAGAGAAGTTCAGAGAGGCTGAGCAGCTGCTTCAGGTCACACAGCTTATGCACAGCAGGGTCGGAGCCTGATTGTCCATCTGCCACATTCGGTTCTCCCTTGGGAAGTGGCCTCACCCCACGCCCCCAGTGTGGCCTCCAGGGAACCACTAATCCCTAGAGCTAACCCTGCCTGGTTGCAGAAAAGCCCTTTGTTTTGTTTGTTTTTTTTTAGTTCAGCTAACAAGTTGGGATTTCTTAAAATGGAACTTTTAATAAAAGCCCCTCCCCCGGAATTTTTTTTTTTATATATAATTTATTACATATATATTTTTTAATTGTACTATACAGATGGGCAAGTTCAGGTCCTCTGAGCTGTTACTTCCGCCTCTCTGAAACCTGCAAATGGGACTAGATGGTCTTAAAGAACCTTATCAGTGCTGATATCCTGTGATTCCATGATTAGTTTCTCAGATAAATAGTGGACTGATGAATTTTGTTGGGGAAGGCAGATTTAGGGACACAGCAAAGGGAGGAGGGTAACGCTACCAGCCGACCAGCTCCATCCGTGCCCCCATGCCTTTATTACTTGACCTTAGAGGTCCAAAGGGAGACAGAGGCCTTTCCAAGAGCCTCCCCCTGCCTCCTCACCGGACCCTCAGATGGCCCTCACCAGTCTGAGGTGGAGCTGGGGCTAGATAGGCCTACACTGGAGTCCAGGCTGCATGCCTCCTGCCGTGCCTACAAGGGTCCTGTCCCCTCTCTAGGCCTCGGTTTATGCATCTTCCTCTCTGTGGGCCACTCGCTCTGGCCTCCCAGGCTCTGTTTCCTCCACCCCTCTCCTGTCAGTGGGACCCTCTGGAAAGCCCCACTAGGCGCAGCACAGACACAGGAAGGGGAGAGGGGAGGCTCGTGGGCGAGTTCCTGTCGAGGCTCAAGCTGTCAGCTGTAGCCGTTGGAGCCCGTCATTTCCCTTCCTCCACCCACCCAGTTGAGCAGCCGAGAAGTTTCATCACAGCTGAGTTGTTGTCCTTATAAGGGAAGGGCCTGCCGAGCCTCTCCCCTGGGCCACAGCTGGCTGGTAGAGAGCCAGGCCAGCCTTATGGTATCCTCCAGGCTCCAGAAAAGGTGAGAATACCCCAAGCTCACCAGAAGTCCCCAGGGCTGAGTGTCCATCTGAGGTCACAGGCTCTCCAGAGAAAAAGCAGAAGCAGTTGATTGTGGCCTTGGGGGTCAACTCCCATGTCCTGATACCAACTTGTGGTCGCCTAGGCAAATTGTTTAAGCCTCAGTTTCCTAACCTACAAAAGAGTGAACATAAACACATTTTCCTCATGAGGCCACTGTGGTGACAAGAGACCAATATATAGGACTGCCAAATAGGTGTTCTGTGAAGCTAGAGTGTATTAAACATTTTATATGAGGCAGACCATGGGCTAAGTGTTCCACAGCAACCCTGTGAAAAACAGAGAATTAGCCCATTTTACAGACTGGAAAAACTGAGGGACAGTTTGCCTAAGGTTACTCATTCATGGCTGGGGCTTGAATCTACATGTGTCTGCCTTCAAATCTGAAGTCATGGTTTTTCTACTTCTACCCTGTTACTTCCTCCAAGAATTTTGTTCCTCTAATAAAATTATGAGAACAGGGAGGAATTCCCACCATTACCTCTCTACCCTCCACGTTCCCCCACAGAGCCTTCTCATATCATCAGAGAAACCTCCATTTGAGTGAGTTTATGTGACCTTTTCTGACAGCCCTGTCTCATGTCTCATGGAATGAGGGGGAAGGCAGGAAGACAGGACTTAAATGAGGGCACAAAACATGGGGGCTCAAGAAGATACAGGGAGCTTCCCGGTCCCAAGCTCATGTGAGGGCAGAGGGAGGGGCAATCCCTAACAGTCCCTGCTGTCCTGAGTCCTGTCTGAAGGTGGCCATCTTGTGTTTTGCAAAACTGTCCATTATAACTACCCATAGGACTTTAGGGCACTGAAATATCGCAGCATGTGTTCAAAAGACCTCTAGCCCCCAGGACCAGAGGGAAAGAAAGTTCTCGCCACATCCTTCCTCAGCCCTATGGCTGGCCACTGACACCTTCCCAGCAGCTGCTCCCTTTAAGGTGGCCCTCCAGAGAAGAGCTTGTTTCTGGGCTAGGGAGAGGGGAACCCCCATTAATGAAGGGACTACTCTCCCTTACCTTGGGTCCTCACAGACAAGAGGCAGGTGAAGGTAAAGTGATTCACCTGGGGTACCACTCACTCAGGGTGGCAGTCACGCATCAGGCCAGTGGCTGGAGAACTCAGGAGGGATGCAAGGGTCATAGCCACAGTCGATAGGCCCTGGGTCAGGTGCTTCCTGTTATGTTAGTCACCAGGCCTGTCCAGCAGCCCTTGGAGGAGGAGGGGAGCCCACCTTTGGGGAGCACAGCGGTACTTTCCCACATGGGGGAGTGGGGAGCATTGCCAATTCCCTTTTCATGGGTGAGGAAATTGAGGTCCCAAGGCTGAGACTCATGGGGGGGGCGGGGGGGCGCGACTTGAACTTTGGCAGCTTGACTTGGACCTCTGTCCACCATCCCAGGGGCTGCCAAAGAAAGCTCAGTTAAGCCCTGGGATCCTGCTGACATGTATTATGGGTGCCATGGGCATAAGGCAGGGCCCAGGCTCACCCGTAAGCAGGACCAGGCACTGAGGTTAAAGTAACAGCTGGAATCACTTTGAACCATCATAGGAAACACCTGTGCAGGCAAGCCTCCTCAACGGAGACTAAATCTAGGGGGAAATTTTGATGAGGTGCAACATACTTGTGCATAGTCTTAAAATGTCTTCCAGATTGCTTATTAGTTGCAAGAGAAAAGTCTTAACTCTACAGTAGAGAAATCAGACACCTTGACCAGGTGATCAAAATTAACATCATCAGTGAGGGGCAGATGGAGGCATGTATCTCCAAACATGATGTCCTGAGAAGGACCTGGTAGCACCTATGCAGTTTTCTGTCTGAGAATCCATAACCTCAATCTAATTATGATGAAGCCTCAGATAAACCCCAAGCTAGGAATGTTCTATTAAAAGAGGGGGGTGGGAGGGAAGGAGGACTGTGTTTTTCAAAGATGTCCACGTCATGAAAGATCAAGAAAGGCTGTGGAAACATTTCAGATTTAAAGGAGACTAAAGAAACATGTATGCAATATCTGACCCAATGCTGGAGGAAAAATATGATAAAGGATATTATTGGGTCAAATGACAAAATTGGAATATTAACAGTAACTACTTTTTTTTTTTAGTAACTATTATATCAGTGTTAAATTTACTGAAGTTGATAACAGTAGTAATGGTTACATAAGAGAATATATTTATTTTTTAGGAAATACACACTGAAGTATTCAGGGGTAAGGGACCATGATAACTATTATAACTTTCCAACAATTCAGGGGGAAAAAACGTGTGTACATTAAAGAGAGAAAGTGCTCAAAAGATAAACAACCAATGCGTCAATCTGGGTAGAGTATAAGGGTGTTCTTTGTGCTGTTGTTATTCTTGCAACTTTTCTGTTTAAAATTACTTCCAAATAAAGCTTTTAAAAATTGAAACGCATTGCCCCTTATGAAATTAGCCCCCAGCCTGTAGAAACATGTGTGGGTAAAATTTGGGTCCTGGCTGAGCTTAGCCAAGATGGAACACTGTGGGAGGGCAGTACCCAGCCCAGCCGATGGGAAGGGTGCTCTACGACAGGGTTTGGAGGCCTGGTGAAGCCGCCGATCAACCGCCTACCCTCTGCTTCTGAGGTCAGCCCTGGAGCTGGTCCCACACCAACAAACAGGCTTGCGGCAGAAATGTTCCATAAAAAGGGATTTATTGCCAAACTTCAAGAAAGGCGCTTCATAAGCAGAAGACATGGAGTGCCATCCTCCTCGAGGGGGCAGGCAAGGCAGCACCTGCGTACTCCCGCTTCTCCTCCCCCTCCCCTGAAAGCCGGCTTCCTCCTTGGGACCCAGGCTGCCAAGGCATGGGGGCCCCATAGGAACCAATGGCATTAGGCCACTGAGGTGGCCTCAGAGAGACTCGCTCAGCCTGGTCACACTTATCAGAGGAGGTAAAGGAGGCTCTAGTCCCTGGAAGCAGGTGACTTGGTTAAAGCCTCAGACAGCCGAGGCTGCTGGTGACGTAAAGCTGTTCCCCACAGGAAGACTATAGGGGGCCATGTGACTGTGGGCATCTGATGGCATTCTTGCTCTCATACTGGACACAGATGGAGGAACAGGCAGACTGTGGCATGAGAGCCTAGTTTGTCCAAGGAGTGTGGTCTGGGGAGGCCCATGGGGGCTCACGAGCCATGACACTGCTGCTTACCCTCACCCCTACCCGGTACAGGCCACAGAGTGAACATCTGCCTCTCCTGATCCCTGGCTATTACCCTCAAGAACAAAGCAGAAGTACAGTGAAGACGGCATTGACCTGCACCGGCAGGCCTCAGTGGGCACGACTGCTGGCTGGGTGTGGGGACGCTGTGACCCGCCCTCTCCTCTCTTTCAGTAAACAAAAGTGCACATGCAGAAACCCCCAGGAACTTCTCCCATTCCCATGGGCCCCAGGGAGAGTGGCTGTGGCCTTCAGGGCCTCTGCACCTACAAGCTCTGCCCTCAGTCCAGCTGCTGCAGCAGGATGGAGACTGGACGTGCTCCCAGAGCCAGGGGTAATGGAGATGCCCTAGGGAGAGGTCCAGGCTGCAGACACAGGCTAGGGAAGGACCAGGAGAAAACTCTCCTTCCACTAGGAAGGTCAGGAGGAGCAGTCCATCTGGGGCCTGTGCCAGAAGGGTGGGGGGAAGAGGAGAGAGGGAAGTGGTTTAGGCCCTGACATACCCCCTCAGCATTAGAAGAAATGATGGGATATTGGACCTGCTTGGGTTGAGGAGGAACCACAGAGACCCAGCTATAAATCCCATCTGGGGAGGCACAGAAGTTGGGGTGGCTTCTCTTCTGAAGGTTGATTTATAATGAATTACACATAGGATTTTCTGATGTTGACATCAGGGTCATCCTGGGGTTCACCTCTATAGGAATGTGCAAGGCTGGACACAAGCTGGTCCAAAGGCAGGGAGACCCTTCGAGTTCCTCCTCCACCCTGTTGTCCTCTGGTGACAGCTCACTAGAGGGGAAGGCCTGCAGAATAGGACAGGCCCAGAGAGGGGACGCAGAGCTAATGGCTTTTTTACACAGATGCCTCCCACCTGCCTTCAGAGGCCCTAGCTGGGTTCCAGGTCTCACTCAACTGAGGTATGAACCCACAGCCTGGATCCAGGGTCTCAGCAGCTACTCGGAACAGGTGGGTGGGAGGGTTGGTTATGGCTTGCAGCTGCCTGTGCCATAAGGCTCTCTGCCTCAGGATATCTGGACATGGAGGCTGCGGGGAGCTCAGCTGTGCTCTATTCAGAAGTCAGGAATGTAAACTACTGGGGGTGAGAAGCAGAGACTATGCCACCCCCAGAATCCCCAGGGCTATCCCAAAGCCCTGGGGCATTTCGGAGCAACCATGCAAGCACAGAGGTCCTGAGTGTGTGCTCCCAGCCCAAGCCAGAGCCCAGAGGCCGGCCAGATAGCCAGACAGTGGCCCTGGGTGGCACCTGACACCACTGGCCAAGGCAGGGCAGGGAGGATACCAGGAGTCTCTGCAGGTCCTGGCCAAACCCTGACATGCCCACTGGCCCTTCAACACAGACTGAGCAGAAGCACATTTCTCAGCAGGGCTTTGATAGACTGGGCTGGCCAAGGGGATGGTGCCCTGGCCTGGCAGGCCCTAGGGTGCACTTCTCCTGTAGAGAGTCACCAGCTCCTTCCGCTTCTCCAGTGGCCCAGGTGCTTCCTGGCTCAGCTCTCCCAGATCTCGCATTTCCTGCAGGACCTGGGTAGCCTGTCTCAGCTGCTCCACAGCCTGGCTGAGCAATGTCTCGGCGCTCGCAGGGGCGGGCTCACTGCCCATGACCTCGTTCAACAGTTTCTCCGTCTGTGCTGAAGCCACCTTCACCTCCAACTGGGCCCGGTACAGCCGTACCCCAGGCTGCTGTGGACGCCGAGGGCCATCCCCAAGCAGGTCCCCCACGGAGGAGCAGCGGGGATGAAACTGAGGTGGCTGGTCCCAGGGTGGCAGTGCTGTGGACACTGTTGCATTCTTTGGGGGAGTCCCTGGGGTGCCTGCAGCCTGGGATAACTTGACAGGCTCAGGACTGTCATCCATGCCATTCACCGAGACTTGCGCTGGGCCTGGGACAGAGGTCTCAGAGGCCCCAGGACTCTGGGCTGGCTCCATCGCATTCATGGAGGCTCTCAGTTTCTCTGATAAGATCTTGGGTGGGGGTGTAGGGGGCTTCCCACCCTCCTTGGGCGTAGCCTCAGAAGTCTCAGAACAGAGCATCGGGCGTGGTTCCACATTCTCAGCGTCAGGGGACTCCTCGGGGCTGGGGTTCTCCCAGCTCACCTTCAGTTTGTCAGACAGGACCTTGTTGGGGGGCTGTTCCAAGCCATTGTCCTTCCCCACTAGAGTCTCTGAGTCCTCTGGGCTCTCAGGGTGGGCCTCAGAGTTTGCTGAGACAGGGGTTGGGGCTCTTTCCCCCACAGTGGTTTCCACTCTGTCACCAAGGCTGGTCATCTCAGGAGCTGGGGAAGGCTTGGTAGGAGGCATGGGGGGCCGGAGTATCTCCCGGGGCTGGGCTGCACCGACGTCATCGCTGGGGGTAAACACTGGCGGCCCGCTGTCCAGAACATCCAGGTCCAGGCGCAAAAGTCCATCAGAAGCTGCGCTGGCTACCTGGTGGGGGGCAGCATATGGGCATCATCTTGGATGACTGGCCTTTGGGTCTGATGTGCCCACCTATAAGAGTACTAAAGCCCTCCCATCCAGGCTGCTCAGGTCCCCAGTCCCCCACTCTCCATGCCCTCTGAGGAATCCTCTCCTTTCCCTCAGTCCCATAGAATTCCCTGATTTGGAATCACAGGCCAGGAAGTTAGAGCCAGGGTGTCCTCTTGGTGCCCCAGTCTGGCTTCTTCAGCCAATGAAAGAGGCTGCTCTCTTTAGTGGCAATTATACTGGCCTGGGCAGCAGGGGACATGGTTCCAGCCCTGTTTCTGACCCCTTCCCGGCTGTATGGCCTTCAGAGTGTCCCTTCTCTGCAACCACCCACCAAGGGTTCCCATAGACATTAGGTGATAGGACCAGGTCTCCAGAGTTGACTTTTGCTCACTCACTTCTGCTTCCCCTCCCTGGAGACCTCTGACCAGTCTTCCAGCCCCACACCCAGCCCTTTGGCCCAGATCGCGAAGTCCCTGCCTGCCAGCTGCTCAGCAGTGCCCACTCTCCTCACACCGTCAGATGTGGCCCCAGACGTAGGCAGCCCCAGACCACAGCTGACTGCCAGAGGGGAACAGCTGCACCAAGCAGACAGCTGACACCAACTAGGCCTCAGGAACCCAAAGGGATACCCAGCAGCCACATGGTCATGGGGACCCTCCCAGGGAGCCTCAGAGGCCCTGAAACAGGGCTGGACAGTAGGCCTCTCTCCCAAGGTCCCTCAGATGGTGGGGATCCTGGCTGGGACCCTCATGCTCAATCAGTCAAGAGTCCCTCCCTGAATTATTCTCTAAGGATCTCCCCTCAAAGGCTGGCCCTCCCCCAACACCTCCTAGACCTTCCACCTCAGGCATTCCTTTTCTCTCTGGCTATTACAGTCCACTCCCTCTACAGCAGCGGTTCTCAACCTGTGGGTCGCGACCCCTTTGGGGGTTGAACGACCCTTTCACAGGGGTCGCCTAAGACCATCGGAAAACAAAGATACTTACATTACGATTCATAACAGTAGCAAAATTACAGTTATAGAGTAGCAACGAAAATAATTTTATGGTTGGGGGTCACCACAACATGAGGAACTGTATTAAGGGGTCACGGCATTAGGAAGGTTGAGAACCGCTGCTCTACAGGCTTTTTTCCCCTCAGCTGACAGACAAGAACAGGCTGCCTCACCTCAAAACAAACTCTCCAGTGACCTTGGCCCCTTCCCTTCTCTTCCTTCCCTCCCATGGTTCTCTCATCCTAGCACCCCCAGCTCTCTACCCCATGACAGCCCTAAGCTTCTGAGAAAACACGCGGTAAACGTCACTGCTTTTTCCTCAGTCCTGCCCTCGTGACTTGTGGCTGCCAACCTGGCTGATGACCCCAGGTCCTGTGCCCTTCTCTCCCCAGATGTGCCACTCGCCTCTCTGGCCTCCTCTTCCTTGGCTCCCTGCTGCCCTCCATTCCCCAAATGTAGGGTTTGCTGAGGTTCTTTCCTGACCTCCAAGACCTCTCCCCCTGCTACCCACCCCCATCAGCAACACTGATATGAAAAGGGGCTCCTCCCTTGCCCCTCCCCTTGCCCATACCTTCTCCTAAATTCCCTGTGCCCAGGGCCTCTATTTGCGCAGCCTCCAGGCTTGGGAGCACCTCTGACAACCCTCCCTCTCAGTCTAGTCCACCTGCCACAGCCCCATAGTCAATCAAAAGCCCAGGTGACTCTTGCTTGCCAATCTGTCTCCCACTGACCCCTCCCAATTCAACTCCTGCAGGAGCCTGGAGGCCTCGCTGTTCCCTCTTCATCTTGGTCCCCTGCCTTTCCCTCCCTCAACCCAACCCACCCTACCCTGGTCCTCAAACTGACCTCTGAAACACACCCTCCCATCCATCCTGGCCCCAGTTCCGGCATTCAAGCCCTCCAAAATTTCCTTCCCCCAACTTCACCTTCCTTGACAGATCTCCCAGTCAAAGGGATTCAGCACACCTTAAACTCTCCTGCCTCATGCTCAGCTCACACCATTCCCCCCACTGGGCATCTCCCTCATACCACATCTGCCAACTGAAACACTTCCCATCCTCCAGGGGTCAGCGCAAGTGTCAGTGGGTCCTCTGTGGTCCCTTTGCCCCAGCCTCCCAGAACCCTTAACACAGCTCTGCTTGAAGCTGGTCTTTTCTCCAGTTGGAAACTGAGCTCTGAGAGGCAGGGAGTACCCTCAGGGTTTCAGTTTCCCTCAGGCACCAACTCGAGCTAAGGCCAGTGTGTGGACTCAACGAGCGCAAAAGGCACATATATCCACACCCTGAACACATCTAACATACGTGTCTCCACACACAGATCTCCGCATACCTAACTCAGGAAGCCTCAGCTCTAGGAGTCCTCAGGAAAAATGGGGCTCCGGGCCTGGCTACCATCCTAAGGAGCTGGGGTCCCCAGCTCAACTGGCCTCCCACCTGTCCAAGCTGGGGCAAAGTCTTACCTCCTTCAGGTGGACTCTTGTAGGTGGCCGGCGCTTCTGGCCCGCACGCACCCGATCCCGTGTCACATGCTCCAGGGCACAGCTCTTGTCTACCTTTACCTGGGAAGGAGAAGGAACCAGGTCAGTCCCCACCAGGCCTTGGGAAGAGGAGGAAATGCTCAGGCATTAATTCAAAGTCAGGGTCTGCACCTGCAGGGTCAAGCGCCCCATTGCTGCCTCTCTTTGAAGCATCTCCCCGTGTCTGGACCCCGACTCTTCTTCCTGTCTCTACGCTGCCTTTGTCATCTCTCTGCAGTCTGAGGCTCTCCCTCTCTCTGCAGCTGCCCTCTTTGCCTCAGTCTTCCTGCCCAAATATGGGCTATCAGCCCTTGTCCCTGAGTCTACTGCAAATATATAAACAGCCCTGAGGCTGCTTTTGGGCTTAGCTGGGGGAGAGGAAGAAGACAGCCCATGATCCCCTGGTACCTGCTTCCAGAGGCCTTGCCCTGGCCCCTGTCACTCTCCCAGGACCCTTGGGGATAGGCCTCTGCCCCTTTGGGTCGGGGTATCTAGAGGGCAGCATCTCCTCTCTGAGAGTAAGGAAAGAGGGTGAATAGTAGCCCAAGAAGCCACAGAGTAAAATTCACATGGAAAATCCAGACTCTGAACCCCGGAGCAGCCTGTCCCTGTAATGGGGATGGGGCTAAGGCTCTCCAGGCTCCAGGTCAGGCTCAGGACCCAGACACAGCTGGGGGGCCAGCTGCCCCTATTCCTCAGTGGAGGAGCTGATGCGGATCTGCCAAAACTATGGGCTGAGGCCCAGCCCATGCTCCTGTGGCTTTCAACACCCACAGTACGTACCATCACTGCTGTCCCACAAAAGGGGGACACTTTCCCCAGTTAGTGAAAGGCTAAACATAATAGAGTCACATAAGACACGACATAGGAGCCATGGCTTCAAGTAAGGGGCTTTGAGAAGATTCATTCCCTCAGGTCTCAGACTTCTACAATCCAAGGGTCACCCCAGGTGGCCCTCAGGTGCATTTTAGCCCAAATAGCTACAAATCCATGATGTCAAAGACAATCCTCCATAGGAGATCTGGCCCCAGGGGACACCCTGCCTGCTACAAGCCTGATCATGGCCACTGTTGCCACTATCACCACTATAGCCCAGGGGGCTGGGTGGCCACTGCAAACAGATAGGGAAGCCGAGGGCTAGAGTCAGTTTGGCCTGGACTTCATGACCAAACTGAAAAATGAGCTTTCCAGCTCTCAATTCACCCCCTAATCTCTCTGGCCTGGGCCCGCCTGATGTTTCCAGCTGAGGCTGGCAAGGATACATGGCTGCAATCAGTTCAATTCTATCCCACCACTTACCCATGTTTTCATGTAAAACAAGTCGCTTAATTTCCTTACACTTCAGTGCTTCATCTGTAAAGTGGGAACACTACCACCTATTTTGAGGGGTGTTGTAAAGATTCAATGAGGTAACAAGCAGATGCCCCAGTGTTTGTAGCAGGGGTTGACTGGGATGAGGTGAGGCAGAGTCCTCTCTGAGCTCACAACACCGTGGGGAAGGGGACACAGAGCCCTGCACAGGACTGCATCGCACCTCATCAAAAGCCTTGTTCTTGCCTCGGCTGATCCCTTCATTGAGGGCTTTGATCCAGGATTCCTTCTCCTCCCCGCTGGGTGCTTGGAATTTGATGTCGCTGACCTGCAGGGGGCATGGGTGGGGTGGATGGCAGATGTTTAACCAGGCTCACATGTAGGGTTTTAAGGAAGCCTCCCACCCCAGATCCCAAAGCTGGCCCTGGCACAGATGGCCAGGAGCAAACCAAAATGTTCCCTACAACAGGTCTGACACCAGGGCATCAGGGCAAGGGAGGGGACAGGTCCAGAAGAGAAGGGGCTCTTTCCCTGCATGCAGCTGCCAGAGGTTTGGATTAGTATCAGCCTTGCCCTTTGGAAAGATCCTAGATCTGGTCTCGCTCCATGTGACTGCCCGCCCCAGGCCAGCTGCCTGACCTCTGGGCTCTAGTTTTCTCTGTAAAGTAGCAATAGTCCCAGTCTCCTCAGACTGGGGTGACGAAGGTGACAGGCATAAGGGGTGTCCACTAGTGAAGGTCCACTGGGACCAGAAACACCTTTAGCTCTCCAGTGGGCCCCACACCCAATCCTTGCCCCAAGTGAAAAAGTCTCAGTGTCTCCTTGAACCATATAAGAGATAAAGGGGATTGGGGGTCAATTCCAACACCTGCATCATACAGATGAGGAAACACAGGCTCACCAGGTGGGATGGAATTTGGCCAAGGTGGCCTAAAGTAATCCTATGACTCCTGACTCCACCCCCCACCCCACAGGTCCCTTCCTATCTCAGGCAGGAGCTCCACGATACTATATTAGAATCAGAGGGACAGCTCAAAGAGCCCCCTCCCTGCCAGGCCCCAAGGTCAGACAGGAAATAGTGGAAGGAGCAAGGCCATGCAAACTGAGGGGCTGCCTAGCGTGGTGGACACAGCAATAGGACCTCTGAGCTGGACAGACCACCACTTACATCGTGTTGACCTTGAGCCTCAGTTTCCTCATCTATAAAAAGAAAACATCACAGTGACCTGCCTCGTGGAGCTGTGAAGATCACTGATGTGTCTAAAGTGTTGAATTGAGCTGGACACAGAGTGAGTGCTCAGTAATAGGAATTATCACCACGGCATTCCTTCTAGACAAAACAGCCCATTTCCTCGTCTGGAAAAAGGGATACCACCACCTACCATAGAGAAATGCTCACGGAATTCAACCTGACCAAAGCCAGAGCCTGGCACATAGTAGGTACACAGTAAATAGTTACTGAATGAATGAGTCAATAAATGAATGAACTGGCCCCCAAGTTTCCTTCTTTTTCCCTGTTTTTTGGGCCACTGCCCACTCTCTGACCTCAAGATGCCCTAGTTCTTGGTCCGGCGGGTCACCAGCCTGCCCATCCCCCGCCCTGGTGTTAGATAGCACTGTCCCGCCCGCCACTCTGAGTTATGTAACACCGCAGTTGGCCTGGCCCCCTCAGCATCCTTGTTATATAACTTCCTCCTGGCTGCCTCCTGCTTCTCCCCATACAGGGCCCTGGGTCCCACCCACCTCTCCATGCCAGGCACAGCCAAATGCTCATTTGCATGACCAGGGTAAATTCGATCCTGGCAGCAGATTTGCAGTTAAGTCAGAAACTCCAGGGCACCTTGGCAACTGCCTCTTAGCCCAGCCATCAGGGCTGCTGGTGGCTCAGGGAGGGACAGCGTTGCATCTGGGCTCTGCAAGGGCCCATCCAACCCTGTGATGGGGCTGTGAGAAAGATGGACCAGGTCCAGCCCCTCTGAGCTCAGCTGCTGCTCCTGCTCATAGGACTGGAGTTGGTGGGGACCCTGCCTGGTGCAGGACTTAGCATCCCAGAAAGCTTGCGAGGTGCACTTGAACCCAGCAACAGAAGCAGCAAGAATGGGGCAGAAAAAGAACACTGGCCTGGGAGTCAAGATTACAAAGTTCTAGTCCCACCAGCCTGCAGTGGCACTCTGCACAGGTCTCCTCACCATTCCAGAACTCCACGGGACAAGAACAGACCACTGGACCCAACCCAAACTGCGCCTTCCCATTGCCCAGCCCACCTGAAGCAGGCTGGGAAGAGGGTGTTGGCCAAAGGGCTCCCTTAGGAGGGAGACTACAAGGTAACTCCACAGGGCGATCAGAACAGGAACTATCAGAATACCAAGAAGTTGCTCCTCTGGCTCCAACCCTACCCATGTTCTGAAGAGCCACAAGCTGCACAGGTTTCCTCCCCAAGTCCTTCTAAGAAGCCCCAGGGGCACAGGCCCTCTGAGGAGTTAACTTGACTGGCCACAGAACAGGCCCACATGGCCTGAGAAAAAGGGGAGGACAAAATGGCAGACAGGGTAAAAGTGGGAGGGGGAGAGGAGGCAGGAAAGAGGAAAGGGCCAAGCTGGCTGAGACCAGCAGGGCAGCAAAGCCCAGCAGAGGCCACCCTGCTTCCTGGCAGCATCTGCCTGTGACCTCACGGCAGGGGCGTGGGGATGGGAAGGCAGGGGGGAGAGGGGCATGCAAGACACTGGAGTCTTTGTTTATTTGATTAGAAGGAAAAAACAGGCGGCTTCAGGACCAGACAGCCAGGGTCATGTGACCTCCTGGCCAGCAGGCAGCCTCACTGAGGATGGGGAACACCCAGGGCGATAGGAAAGGAGGGTGAGAGGATGCGGGGGACGTGGTTCTCTGGGCGGTCCCCCATCTGCCCTCTGGAGAGCCCCCACTCCCTGTGTGAGCTCCTGTGGTGTCAAGGGTCACGGCACTCTTGAACTGGAATCAGGGTATGCTGTCCCATGCCCCGCAGCCCCCACTATTTGCTCCATGCCCATGTCCCCAATTGATCATCCTGTTCCCAAAGTCACCAGAGCCAACCTGAACTCTCAGCAGAATTGGGGTGTTGGTTGAAGCAGCTGAGAGTGTAACTGCATGAACAGGCCTCTCCGAAAGTGATGTCCCACCCTGAGCTGGGCCTAATCCACCTGGCCCACCAGCAGCTGATCCTCAGAGCTGGGGAAAGGAGGTGGCCCGCAGAACAGCACTGGCAGAGGACAGAGAAGCAAGGCCCCCTCTGCCCCACATCCACATAAGCTCACTAAGAGACACACAAAGACCTAGATAGACCATGGCCAGGTAAACACCCACCTACACACAGAGGAGCACACACACGCACTGGGCACACAGGCACAAAACTTCACACATAACAAAACCTGCATGTCTCTCAAACACACATCCACAAATAGAGCACCAACTAGAGAGGAGGCAGGCCTCCAGGACAGGGTAGGGGCTCTAGGGCCTAAAAGATTAAAATGCGGTTCTCCTCTTCCTCAAAGAGCCATTAAGTAGCAAATGTCAAGTGAAACCTGGGCCCAGCCCATGAACCCTCATGACACTATAAACCTGCCCCCTCCCTGAGCCCGCCCCTAATCCCAGGGTTAGAACCCCTTAGTTGCTTCTTTGCCCCAACCCAGCGCAAAGCAGGACAAAGTGTTAGTGAGTAAAGCAGCATGGTCTCCTCCAGGGCCCAGAGCCACACGAGACTGGGCTCCTGGCCCTAAAAGCTGGGCAAGAAACATAATGGCCTCCAGCAGGCCCAGACCAGACCCGCCCCAGCCCTCAGCCTGTGACTCAGCCCCACTCTGAGAAGCTCCACATGATGTGAAAAGGTCAGGGCGAGGCCTGACCCAGCTGCAGATGGGCGCTAGTTGGCGAGAGGTGCTGTACATACCAGCCTCGAATCTGACTCCCTCCTGATATCTGTGAAACTATGCCATGTGTCAACACCCACCCGGACTCCCTGCCGGAGATACGTGGTACAAACAGCGAACTTCATCTGCACACACAGCATGTCCCAGGGAAAGAACTTCTTGGGCAAGAGACTTTCTCCAGCAACAGTCAAGAAAGGAAAGTGCAAGGGGAGGAAAGCTCGGGGGCTGCACATCCCCGAGCACTGAGTCCACGACGGAGGGCAGAGGGGTGGCCCACCCAGGAAGGCCTGGGATGAAGGAGAGGTCACACCTTCCCCTCTGGCCCAGAGTACGTCACAGTGTCAGAGGCCTGGTGAGATGAAAGCTCCATCCCCAGCTTTCTTGCCTCAGCCCTAGGTCTCCTGTGTCCAGGATATGGGAGAAGGCCAAGGGCCCCACCTCCCAAAGGCTACTTTCCAACTACAGCTTGGGAAGAGCCACGTTTTGGTCTTTTAGGCCCTTGCAGCCCAGAGCCTGGAAGCGGAGAGGAGAGCAGACCTCTCAGCAGAGCCCTAAGTGCATCTCCTATCAACCAGGGGCTGGAGGGATGCGAAGACAAAATGAGCAAAAGGTCCAATCTGTGGTTGCCCTGGGGTTTGAGCCTCAGGCACACTCCACAGAGAATGTTCAGGCTGCATCCAGGAGCCCAGCCTGTCGTAGAGAGCCTCCAGGGGTGACCCACCCAAGCAGACCCCAGCCTGGAGGAAGGTCAGCCCACAGTGGGCACAGCCCTACCTTGTTCCCTGGGGATCGAAGCAGGATAAAGCGGTGTCTCCGCTTAAGGAGGGCTCGAAGGTCCTGGCATTTCTCATAGCTGCCCAGCTCCACTGTTTCCACACAGTTTTGCTCATCCTGGGGAGGGAGACGGAGGGGACATGAAGTGGTGAGAACTAAACGCACCCAGACCTTCAAACACCCTGGCCCTGCTTCAGACCCTGATCCCACTCAGTAAGGGCATCACTTGGTCAGGGGAGACCTCGGGCTACCAATCAATCTCCAAGATGCAGTATTTAGACTCTGGCAAACCCACACTGGCTGGAGGGACACCCTCAAGGCTCACTGTGCACAGGAGAAATGGGACTCACAGCCCCAAGGTGGGAAACAGGGCTTACTCAAATATGCCTAAGGCCAAAGGAGGAAACAGGGGAAGCTGGAGAAGCTTAGGAAAGGGTGTCTGGGGGTCCATGCATGCCCAGAGGCTGGGCAGAGATTTGTGGAAGAGGTAACTTGGAAGAGGAAGCAAGTTGTCACAGAATGAGAGATGAAAAGGCTTTCCAGGCAGAACCACAGAGGTAAGTATGAATACAGCACATTTGGGCTACATGCCCTGCCTTCACCACAGTGATCCTGAGTTGACATTTCCACTGGCATCTTCCTCCGCTGACCCTTGGCTTCGAGAGGCCACACTTCACGGCCAGCACAACAGAAAGGGCAAGTTTCCTTTAAGAGCACCCCGTTCCCCTGGACTATCTTCCTGGACAGTGGTCAGCCTCTTCTAGGCCACCTCTGGACACTGGCTGGGCTGCCTTCCTGCCCGCCCGCCCTGACACCCGAGTGTTTTCTCCACTTGGGCTTTACCCGCCAGGTGCCTCTCCAACAAGCTGCCTGGAACAAGCTCCTCCCTCAATGGTGGTCAACTGGTTCCTCTTCCAGGAAGACCCAGCTGGAACAATTTCCTGGATGTGACACAGTCTCACCCTGGAGACTCCAGGGAAGTAGAAACAGGCCCTGGGTCAGGGCGGGAACAGAGGGGGAAACTGGCCAACAAGTGAAGGAAACTCTTGCTGTTGGACGTCATGCAGACAGCCAGCAAGAGCACCCACCCAGGGACTGCCTCAGTCCCCTGCAGTTTTGAGTGGGATACCTGGGAGGCAGTGATTCGATTATTTGCAAAGGAAATGGCCCAATTTCCCTCTACGATAATCCACATGTACTGTTGACTCTTCTCTATATCTGAGGGTTCTGCATACACAGATTCAACCAACTCTGAATCAAAAATATTTGGGGGGAAAAAAAAGCTACATTGTTAGGCCTACGATGGTTGCTTCTGTACTGAACATGTATAGACACTTCTTTCTTGTCATTATTCCCTAAACAATACAGTATAACAATTATTTACATAGCATTTACATTGTATTAGGTATAAGTAAGCTAGAGATAATTTAAAGTAAATGGGAAGATGAGTATAGGTCATACACTAATTCTGTGCCATTTTATATAGAGGACTAGAGCGCTGGTGGACTTTGGTATCCATGGGATTCCTGGAAACAATCTCTTATGGATACCGAGGGACAACTCTACTAAGAAACCCTGAAACTCAAGCACTTTTACATCCCTGATTCTCTTGAGCCTCTCAATCACCCTAAAAGCCAGTATTTGCTTCATTTTAAAGAGGAGGAGAGTGAGGTCTGATTTGCCCGAGGAGCACAGACCTGAATATAAGGGGCAGGGCCAAACTCAAACCCACATCCTCTGACTCCCAAGCCAGAGATCTTCCCAGCACAGCTCACTCACTCCTCCCAGCCAGAGGCAGAGGCTCAGTTGGTGCCTTAGCAACAGGTTGCTCTGCACCAGTGGTGGTTCTCCAAGTGTAGTACCTGGTCCAGAGCAGTAGCATCACCTGAGAACTTGTTAGCAATGCAAATTCTCAGGCTCCATCCCTACTGAATTATAATCTTAGGGGAATGGGCCTGGCAATCAGAGTTTTAGCAGCCCTCCAGGTGATTCTGATGTATACAAAAGTTTGAGAACCTCTGTTCTACATCAAAGGTTCTCAACTGTGGTGGCACCTGGGACCTTAAAAACCCCAATGCCCAGGCAACATCCCAAACTTATCAGGATCCCTGGAGGGGTGGAGCCAGGCATCAGTATTTTTCAAAGCAGATGACTATACAGCTAAGGTGGATAACCACTGATCTACCCGCTCTTTAGCCCCTCAGGGAAAGCGGAAATGATGGCCAGCGTGGCCTGAGCTTTTCCATCCAGGTTCAATCAGGTGTCTTTCCCATTTTTGCCTCCACACATCTATTTCCAATCCCTAGTCTCCAATCCCCTCCAGGTTCTTCCACTCAACACAACGGACAGTAAAATCCATCTGGTCCAGGAAGCTCCACTGCCCACTCCTATGAGCCCGAGCCTTGGTGCTCCCTCCCTCGTGTGAGGTCCCACATGCACAAAGCACCTGCCAGGTGCAGGCACTGGACTAGGTGCTAGGGATACCTTGCCATGGGGAAAAACAGTCCTAACTCCCTGCTGGGCCATCTCTCTCTACCCTATGCTGCATGTGTCTGCTCTCCTTTCTGTTCTGCCTATAAGGGGCAGCCCTCCAGAGGGACACAGTGAGTGCCTGACCCTGAGTGAGACCCCAGGAAGTTCCCTCCTACTGGGCATCCAGAGGAAGGAAGCTGCCTGGGGAAGGATCTCCAGTTGCAGAGAGCGCAGCTCACCTGCCTCCTGCAACTGGACAACTACTGGCCCAAACAGAAAGTCAGTTCATCTGCACCACCCAGCCCCCCACTGCTGCCTGACCTGGGTCTCCTCTCCACCCAGAATGCTGAATCATCTGGCCCTTCTGCAGCTCAGAAAAATGGACAGACCAGCAGGCGCTGGGCGGGGGCAGCATTTTTGGAACGTCAGCCTCACTGACAGCAAAGAAACAGCCAAGAGTCACTTGCATTCGCTTAGTTCCTTACATCAAGAAAGAGGAATTGAACTAAGAAGCATTTCTCAATTTCTACTCCTGGGCCAAGCTCCTCAGCCCTGAGGGCTAAGTTTTTGAAACTACATTAGGTTTTTTAATAGCGATTTTTTTTTTAAGTGTGATTTAGATTTTTCATGTTTAGGCGATGTGAAATCCTTTCTGCCTGCCTCCCAGCTGTGGCCAGATGTGGAAAAGTGGCCCAGGACAAGTCTAACAGCGTCCGACAGGCTGACAGCTGGGGGCCTGTCACTTAACTAACTCTTAGGCAGCTGGGACTGGAGGAAGCTGAAACAACGCCCTTTATTTATAAAAATATCTCCCTGCTGCCACCACAGTACATCCTCATTTGGTGACAGCAATGGTATAGAACATCTGGAGGGCTGTCTGCACAATTCATCCCCCTCGCCCTCCTCCAACGCTTCTCTGACACCCCAACTCCATGAACCTGGGCCGGAGGCAGGAAAAGCAAGGTGCTACTCAGGGGCAGCGCCTTTAAACATGTAGATGTGCAGTCCCAATCTTTCTTGGCCTGGGACAATTATGAATTTGCCAAGATACCCTGAGGTATGCTGAGAGAGGGTGGTGGGGAACAGGCAGGATGTCCCCTCGTCTGCATCCAGGCCATTTCTCCCCCATTTATTCCACCTGTCAAAGGCACAGAGTGGGAGCCCATTTTCTGATAGCCTCAACCCCAGGACACAAACATCAGTTACAAGTAAAAGCCACCTTTCCTCCTCAGGTCTTCACCCAGAGCTTTGTCGACTCTTACTCGACAAAGTAATTACACACAATTTTAGCATCCTTGATTGTCCAAGTTCCAAGCCTGCTGACATGAAAAGGGGCACCAGTCTAAAGTGGGAAGATGTGAGGACTGAGAGGCACAGGGACAGCAGCAGTGGCAACTGGCAGCTTGACGTTAAAGGAGAAAGAAAAGCTGAAAAATACAGCATGGCACTGCCAACAGCCTGACAGTAAGTGACTCTGAGCCACCAATGAAGACTCAGGCAGGCCAGTGTCTTCTGTTGAAGAAAGTAGAGAATATTCAACATATTTTAGAGGACTTCCACCAAAAATTAGTTTTAGGGTTTACTTGCTGGCATCGATGAGTGTGAAGAGCATTGGATTTGGTTCTAGACCTGGTTCCTTCATTCACTGAGAAGCTGAACAGTCATTTGGCCATCCTGGGCCTTAAGATCCATCTCAGTGCAATGTGACATGAAGACCACCCTCATGGGACTGTCATGAGCATCATCCGAGAGGTATGTAAGAGCTCCAAACATGTATGAGCGATAAGTATTATTTCTACTGTCGTTGCTAAATGGAGCAAGCTTAAGTTTTCTGGAACATTTACATATGTGGAACCTAGCCCAGGGACAGGGAGTTGCAGTGTAGGTGTACAGCTGAGGAGCTACACACATCCCTATGAGGGGCACATCAAAGAGCCCCTCATCCAGGAGCCCTAGACTTGCATCTAGAGGTATCGTGCTCATGCCGTAGAGACCCAGAGAAGATCAGATACTGGCCCAAGGTTGCACAGCATGGCAAAGGTGGAACATGTCTTCCAGTCCCAGTTCTGGGATCCTCCTGTGGGCTTGGGCTGCCCTCACTTTGCCCCCTGCCGCAGCACCCCCAGCCCCAGGGCCAGGCAGGTCCTCACCTCGTTCTCGTAGACCAGCAGCTGGGCCTGGCAGAGCAGCAGATAGCGGTCTTTCCAGAGCCCCAGGAAGCCCCCGCTGCTCTTCTTGATCCAACCAGCCTTGTCCGCCATCCGTGCTCCCCGAGGCTTCTCGCCCCCGTCCTTCACACCCTGTAAGATATCACCAGGACATGCCATAAGGGTTGCCACCATGGGGCCACACAGTCCACAGGCCACACTAAGATGTGTCCCCAGCTGGGTATCTACTGATATCATCCCATGTGAGCATCCCCACAGTTCCCAAGGCAGATATTCTTAATCCAGTATTAGAAATAATAAGAGCAGCAACAATAATAACAGCAGCAGCCGCTTTCTATTGCTCCACCGTGTTATGTTTTATACACATTGCCTCATTTAACCCATACACCTACCCGCTGAGGCAGTGGCAGCATTATCCACATGTCACAGCAAACTGGAGCTTGGAGAGGGATGACTTGCAAGGGTCACACAGCTGGAGGGACAGAGCCAGAATTCAAACTGCTCCATCATTCTGCCTCCCATGCGTTCGTTTAACCAGCCAACAAATGTACTGAGCACCTACCATGTCCCAGGTGCTGGTATAAGCAGAAGAAAAACATAATGGATCTCTGCCCTCATATAGCTGGCAATTCGGGAAAGGAGTTGTTGAACAAATAAACACTAAACACAAACGCATTTACAAGTGTGAAATGCTACAAAGGAAAACAGTGAAGGGTGGGGGGTGAGACAGGACAGTGTAAAACCTGGTTCAGGTAGGGTGACCCAGGAAAGCCTCCCAGAGAAAAGGGCAGTTAAGCAGTCTCAGAAGGATGAGAGGAAGGGGGCAGACAGACTGGTAATCTGCCCTCTAACCCCACCCTTCTAAAGAACCCTCTCTGCCTGCCTCCTTCCTCCAGGCCAGGACTTTGGGACAGCCACCCCATCTGGTGAGGGCTCCAAGGACTCTGCATTTGGTCAAAGGCTGGTACAGGAGGTAAACTTGAAACCTTCTCTAAGACATGGCAGCCACCCTGGGGCCTCCAGTCCAGCCACTGACATCTTGTGCCCCTTGATTACCTGCTTGGGTAGCTGAGGGCCAGGTGTATGCCTACCAGATGGTCCCCAGCACCTAGCACTGTTCCGTTACATATAATGGGTGCTCAAGAACTATCTGTGAAATGAAAATAAAAATACACCCAACTTGCTACCATTGTGCTGCAGTGACTGGTACCCACAGTAGTGGGTGTGAAGGGGAGGGGGGAGGAAAGGGGGGGGTCAAGAACTTGTCAGAATCTAGAGCATGCTAGAAGGAAATGAGCACTAATTTTGACTACTTTATAATTTACATAAAGCTCAAAAAGGGACCCCAGTAAAAAGACGCACACCTCTCCCCAGAGAATACCCTGTGGCCACAGCTGCCTTTGGATGGACAAGCCCGGGCAGATGGAAGTGTGGTTAAGGTGTTAGGGGCTGGGTAGGGCACCGCCTCGCTGTTCTCTATTATGGCAGGGCAGCCCTAATCTGGTTCTCACTGCACCCCCCACCCCCCACCCCTCTGAACTGCAGAGTCTGGCGGTTGGGAGTCTGAGCTTTGAAGCCCAAGTCACATAGACCAGAGGCAAGTCACTTGATCTCTTTAAGCCTCAGTTTCTTCATCTGTAAAATGGAGCTATTAACAGAAGTTGTAAAGATTATAATTCCATGATTTTTTTGTTTTGGCAGGGATTTTTGTTTTGTTTACTGCTTTATCCTCATTGCCTAGACAGTGTCTGGCACACGGCAGGTACTCAGTAAATGTTTGCTGCTGAATAAAGAGATGGCATATAAATCAATGCCTAAGATACCCTAGAGTTAGTAAATGGTAGCTGTCATTACTATTACTGTAGTCACTGCCATCCCCCTGACTCTCAGGGACCCTCTCTCTCTTCCTGAGCCTGGTTCAGAATTTAGAATAAGACCTTTCTGAGTTTAGTTGCTGGGTATCAATGCCCATGGAGCTCCTTGGAATGTGAGGTGCCCCCTCAGGTTCTCTCAGTAACTGTAGATGACAAGAAAAATGGGGAAGTGGGATGGTTCCAAATGACCTTCCCGGATGGAGAAAGAGGAAGTGAGGGGCTTGCCTACAGGCCAGTTATGAGCCACTCTGACCAGGGGAAGAGGGGGCTTCAGGGCCCTTTACAAGAAGCAGGAGGCGCTTGTATCCTATCATGCACCCAACCCCCACTCACTGCATCACCAGAGGCCCTGTGTTCAGCCCCATGGGTTGTGTGAGCCACAGGGCCCTCATCCCCTCAGTGAACCGTGCTGGGTGGCCCAAGCCCAGGGTTGGAAGAAGTGGGAAATGGGAACCCCCACCCCCACATTTCACACATCACACCCCTCCATTAGCAACTGCAACACTATTGGCCACTTCCTAGGCCTGCAGGCTCTCGGTATCTCTTAAACAAGGTAGTAGGTAGGAACGCTGCAGCATGAAGCTGCTGCCTAGGTTTCTCACCTCTAAGCTCCAAGTTCACCTCCTGCTTTTCAGGGGCCCATCCACACCCCTTTCTAAATCCCATCCACTTGTGACCTCCCCTGCCTGCCTCACTGACATGTGAAAACTTCCTGCTAGCTAGAAGCTCCCAAGGGGCACAGCTGGAACCTGTGCCGTGACCACTGTCCTCTCTGGGTGTAGCAGAGAAGTGTCCAGTGAATACCATGGTTGGATTAGCTAGAGAAGCAAGTCCAGGGCCTTAGGGATGGGTGGGGCAGGGGGGGACTGAGGAAGGAAGGCATTTTTGGATAGGGGGAGTGAGAAGTGAGGGGGCTGAAGGCATGAACCAAAGCCCAGGGAAGGGTCTCCGTATCAGGAATCAGCCGCAGGAACAGCAAACCTGAAGGGTGACCTGCTTGCCCGCCACCCTTCACCCAGCCCCTCTCCCTGCCCCTCAGACACTCTCCCACCAGGGGGCCTGGCTAGGCTCCAGTAAGTTTTAATAAGTGGCCCCTTCCCTTGGCAGGGCTCACAGGGGAGGTTTTGTCCTGCTCAGCCCAGTTTCTCAGCCTCCTCTCCTCTTGTTGACCACTGTTTTTCCTGTTTCTCCCTCTCCTCTCCTATCCATCCTCACTCAGGCCCTCCCTTGCCCACTGTGGGAAGCTCCTGAGGCACCCCTGGGAACCAGCCTGGCTCCCCTTTGTCTGAGGTGGAAGGGTCTCTGGATCATTCATTAAGAGGAAAAAGATGCCAGGTTGCCCTGACCCTGTGCACAGAAGGGAGCAGGTAGAAAGCCATGACACAGGCTATGACAGAGAAATGGAGACCAGCAGAAGAAAACTTGGCACCTCACATCACAGGGAGCTTATAATGATCATCGCTGCCCTTTGACTAAACCCAGTGATGCTCTGACTGAACTCTACTAAGAGCCCACTATGTGAGAGCCCTCTGATGGGTCAATCAGAGGAAGCACAGGCTCTGCCCTGGGGGAACTTCCAGTCTGATGGGAGCAACACAGAGCCTGCACAACGGAAGTCCCCAGTCTGAGGGTTGGGTGGGCATCCCCTGCTTAAGAGGGCCCTAGCTTGTTGGGAGGGACATAGCCCCTATCCGGAGAGACACCTTGGTTCTAGCTCTCTGGTCGGGAAGGGCTTGGGTTTAGTTTGGGAAGCCCTTGCAGAAGGCAGGATTTTGGTAGGACTGTGAGGAGGGAAGGAGACACACAACTTGGCCCAGAGAAGGAAAGGCACAGAGGGTATCAAAGACTCTATACTCTGAACTCCTTCACTATAGAACGAAAAAGCTTGGCCCTGAAAGGGCCAGAGATTAGCTCAAGGTCACAAAACCCGTCCTGGTATAGGACACTGCCCTGCTTCTCTCTAGATGGGAATGGTCAACTGAGCATCCTGGAGCCACTGGAGGACAAGCCAGAGAAAGGCATGGCTGACAGGACGGGGGCAGGACCCCAAGGCAGAGACAAGAAAGCCTGGCTCCAGGGTTTTCCGTCTTATTCCAGAGGCAACAATACCTCACATGGATGGATATTTGCAGTTTTCAAAGCTTCTATACATATATCATCGCATTTCTGGATTGCCCACCTCCTTCATTTTATATGTGGGGACACTGAGGTCCTGAGAACACAAGTGGACAGATGCCCAGTGCCCAGACCTGCACTTCTTCACCAAGCCTCAGTCTGATGGAGACTATCAACCCACTGCACAGAAGAGGTCACTGAGGCTGAGGGGGCTTGGCACTAGGGTGGCTGGGGCATGAGGAGGAAGCTCAAGCTGGGGGCAGGGCTGAAAGCAGCTAAGTGGGAGTGAGGTGATGAGGCCAGCCTGGGATCACGGGAGAGAGCAGCTGACTACGATCTAAGAGGGGTTTTAGAGAAACAAAGATGGACACTGAGGCCTCAAGAAATGAGGGGAAGTGACGGGGAGAAGAAATGGGAGGAAAAGAGTTAGGGATGGCAAAGGGGAGGTAGAGGATAGGGAGTCCCTGGCTGTGTAGGGAGGAAGTACGCAAGATCTTAGATGGCCCAGCTATGAGAGGAGCTTTTGGCACCTGAGAATCAGTGAGTGGCAATGTTAGAAACTCAGGACCAGAGAGAGTGCAGGGCTGGGCTGGGTTAGCCACGACACAAACCATGGGCCGAGGGCGTCCCAGGAGAACTTCCTTAATCAGGGGCCAGAGCAGATCAGGAGATGGAGTAATCCTGTCCCACATCCTCTGGGAGAAGGGGAGGGGCCACAGCCAGATAGCCCAGCCCTCACAACAGGGGCCTGGGGTGGGGGAGGGCTGCCCTACCCCCGTCAGCTAGAAACCACAGCAAATCATAGTGGCCTGACTTTGCCTCTTACTTCCACCCACTCTGAGAGAAGGGGCCACAATCATACAGTCAGGACCCGGAGAGGAGGCCCTCAAGCCCTATATTTTGTAGAAGAGGAAACGCAGGCTGAGAGGGGAAGTGACTTATCTACTATCCCACAGAAACACAGAGCCTGGCCTGGAGAGAACCCTGACAGCCCAGCTGCCCCTGGGCAGTGGCGCCAGGAAGTAGGGAGAGGGGCTCTGATGGGGACACAGGCAGCCCGGTCCACTCAAGGCCCTCCCTCCAACTGGCCAGGGTTGCCCCAGGAATGAAGGCTTCATCTTTCCTCCCTACACATCCAGGCACAGACATATCCCCTTCCCTTTTACTGTGAGGGACATAAGCTGAGACCTCCTCAGAGGACTAGAAGCGAAGTCCTTTAGACTCAGCAGGCCCCTCCTCTAATTTATTTATTCCATAGGCACACATTAAGTGATTGCTGTGTGCTTGGATGATGGGGCTGCTGGGAGAACTGAGTTTGCAAGTAAAGGACAGGGGTCACAGAGTGCCTGCCCCCACCCTAGACCAGGAGGGTTCTGAGGGAGAAGAAGGAGGCTCAAAGGGCACACTGCTGGTCCAGCTGCCCAGCTCCTCCAGGGACTCAGCCCTCCTAGGGGTGTAGGAAAGGCAGGCACCAGGATCAGGCCTAGATGGGCCCAACTCTGGGGCAGGTGAGAGGGCAAGAGAGAGGGGACTCACAGGAACTTATACAGGGGAGAAAAAGAGCAACTTCTTCAGTCCTCCAGCCACCAGATAGGGTCACTGCCTCACGATTCCTTGAGACAGGGACTGGAAGGACCCACA